AGGTAACTTTTAAACCGTGCATTTGAATTTGTGTCAATGTTGCTTGTGTTTGTTTGAAACACCCCTAAAAGATCCATTTTTATTTTTGCTATGATAGCCAGCACCCAAGGAGGATGGTTTGCTTTCGGCCTAGAGAAGCACCAACCAACCCTGGGCCCTCCAGGCTTTTGCATTGCCAGCAAAATAAAATACCTGTCTACGTGACACTAACACGAAAGCTTTGCATATACACTATGTAAAAGAATGCAATTTCACTGTCTTCCCGTTTGCACCCCTTCTCCCCACTTATCTTTTCCAACAACCCCATACTGCCTGTAACACCATCACCATGAACAAGACTGTTTTGTTTGAATAATTCAGTAAAACATAGACTCTTTATGTTCTATTGTTACTCAAGAAAATCTTCATAAAAACATTTTTTTAAAAAAGAGGGACTCCATCACAGGATGCAAGGCATGCATATTCCAAGCATGCTGATCTGCAAAAGTACCTGGTAAATTAATTGTCTCTTTTCACTACAAATCTCTGTCATCCCAACCTTATCATTTGCAAGTTCAAAGTGAACAAAAGAACCTCAGGCTACCTTGTGAAGTATTAAACCAAGACACGATCACCTGATGTTACTCCTTCTCCTCTGCTCCAAGTAGTTTTCAATGGCCTGAAGATGGGTTATTGGGGGGGGGGGGGTTGGGGGGAGGGTCATACTTTTCTTGCCTTACGGCCTCTCCAGACAGCAGTAACATGGTTGCAATGAGGACACATCGTAGAACAACAACTAATAAAATGGAATGATTTGTGGATGGTCCCATACAAATCCACCATGAATGCACTGGATAGTTCAGTTGCTTAGAGTGTGGTGCTGATAATGCCAAGGTTGCAGGTTCGATTCCTGTTTGGGACCTGCATTGAAGGGGGTTGGGCTTGATGATCCTCAGGATCCCTTCCAACTCTACAATTCTATGAGTCTATGATTCTATTGTGTCAAGAACATGATGCAGAATACACCTGGGGGGAAACCACCACTGGTCAGGAGAGGCCCTTAGACTTACAATTGCCAGGTATATGTTTAGGATACCAACCGCATAGCAAAGTACATTAAGAAAAATAATCTTGTCTTTGTGCACTGGCTTTATAGAGACATCATAGTAGCACTGCAGACAAACATGACAGAAGAGATGTATTTAGGACTAGGGCCGTGTACACTCATTATCAAAGTATGCATATTAAACCCCCTTCAGATATAACAAAAAAGTCATTAGTTATATAACTTGCAATAAGGCTACTGCATGCTGGCTGACATCATGCTGACCTGCCTTCATAAAGTAGTAGAAATAGATTTTTATGAACCTCAAGTAATTTAAACTCTGCTAATGGAGAAGTGTGTGAAGAGTAACTCTGGCAGCCCACATAAGCAGCTGTTTGGCTAGAATACAAGCTCATTACTGAGCAAGAAAAAAACCCATCGCTGCTATAACTGGAAAGCTAAAAAACCTGCAACGATGAAAGTTAAACTTGTTCAATAACTGGTCCAGAATAGTTAAATTAAAAATATATGCTGGCATTTGGATTTGTAAATGGCAGCTTTCAACATATATGTCTGAGAACCAGGATGCCTATCTCTCCTTCACTGTATAAACTAACAATGAAATCCACAGTATGAAATCCATAACCCTGTGCTAGTAAGACTGAATCTTCATTTTGTTTTGTGTAAATTGGTATCGGTGACATGGATGAGGCCATATCGAGTCTGTGATTACAGCAATTTCCATTGTATGCAAACAGTAAAGAAGCTAGTATATTTATTAACTTGTATTAATAGAAGGTATTTCCAAAAAAACAACAACTGTGAAGCTCCCTAAACCAAAAAGTAATAATGTATCTAATTAAAAGCATACTAAGCTTAAAAAAACCAAAACCTTCAAAATTTATCAGCGACAAAACGAATTCAAATGAAATCCAGATTGCTGCCACGAAAACATTTCAAATCACAAAATGACATCAGCTCATCTCAAATGCTCATTGAAGAAACAAATGTACCCACAGTCTTGGCGCCACAAGGAGGGAGGGACTAAATCTCAGTGTGGTAGAGCATTGCAAGCACAAGCTCTAGGGAAGGGGAGAAATTCAATTCAGTTTGCATGTAAATCACACTTTTCCAAACAACATGGGAACATGAAACTCAGCCATCCTTTGATCTTTGCACTTCTCTGAATTTTGCAATGCAGTTTTCCAGCCAAGTAATATGTACAAAAATGCAAACACCAGAATAAAGTGTGCATACAGCTGCTTAGGTTAGCAAAAACAATATTCAAAAATGCATTATTTTAGCAGAAATTGCTTTGCCACAATGTGTATATTAGGCAAAATTGCTTCCAAAAATGTAAATTAGGAGAAATTTGCACTGAAAAGCTGATTTCTTTTCATGAGAGTGATCTAGAAAATGTGGAGGACTGTGTTGACGATTAAGGGGGATGGGAGAAACCAAGAAAAACCAAATTTGACAGATTTACCCATACTTAACAAGATCCCAGTTCCCATCCTTAGCAATTAGTTAAAAGGATGTCAAACTGCTGGGTTGGAAAAGGTGTCACCCCGAAGCCTTTGACAGCCACTTCCAGGAGAGTAGAAAATATGGACCAGATGACCTGATTCAAGAAATAGTAGGTTCATATGTTTACATAGCAATGAAGAAAACAATTTTCGGTTTGTACATGCAAACAAATCATTGGATTGGAACCTCTGACTGCAGCCCATCTGCATGGATTTATCATTCTTCTCTATATCTGTGGCTATATCTAATTTTTGCACCTGACTGCATAGCGAGAGATTCATTTATTAGTGTTACTTCTAGCCCACTCAGCCCAAGAGACCACAGGGCAATTTACACTATCAACCAAACAAATACAACATATCATAAAACACAACTTGGGGTTGTACCCCTTGCTGCATGAACAGAACTCCGCTCATTCATGAGCACTCCCCTTCCATCTCTTCTCCCTATACCCTCCCCAAGTCTGCTCTAGGAGGTCCCCCGAAATCTTTGGAGAAGATTTTGAGTACTGTGGGCTTCAGGGGAGGGCAGAATGTGTCATGCGTGTGGAGAAAAAAATTAAACACATTGCAGAGTTCCCAAAAAATAGACCAGGGGCAATTCTACTTCATCCAGCAGAGCTTTACTGCTACTGAAGGCAAATGAGCATAATGGTCACAAATCCAATACATTCAGGATCAGCACAGTCCATAAGAAATCTAGTTGCAGCAGACTTGTCTTAGATTTCCAACAAGAACTTATAATAAGACTAAACCGTAACACTATATACAGAACAGAACACCACACCAGAACAAAGAGATAGAAAGAGAAAGTAAGTGAAACCCAGGATCCTTCTGGACTAACTATTATAGTCTGCATGACCTTGACAGAAAGATAGCAGAACCAGTTTAAACCAGCTGTACTCAGCTTCTCAGAAGGAATAACCCAAACAAGCAACCTTCTTTCACACAGAGAAGAAACCTTCCAGAACCCTCTTGAACTAAGCAGAACAGGAAAGATCTCTATACATCAGCTCAATACTTTCTGTACTAAGAAAGGCAAACTGACAAAATGCCTAAACAGTGCACAATAACATGAAGCATGGAACTTCCTACTGTTATAGGGAATAATTTTATTCATCTGGATTTAAATCACCACCTTATTCACATCTAAATGAAAAGAAAGATACTCTATAAATATATCAGAATCTGTCCCTCATCATAAGGGACATCCCAGATTGTTTAAACTTCTGGTTATGAACTGGAAGGACAGAAAGATAGGCAGGCCTAACAAAGGTAACAGAGGGTTGCATTCAATGAATCAGGAGTAAAGTTCCACTTGGACAATGGGACTTTGCCACCTCTTCCTTCTCTCTGCAGCCCTATGCATCTCCTGAAAATTGTTATTGAGAGTTGAGGAAAAGTGTGGGACAGCGTGGAAAGGGGCTCAGGTTGATAGAATTGAGGGAAGGTATTTGCACAGGCAGAAGTGCCTTTCTGCATGCACAGAACACCTTTGGACCCGACACAATGAATGTAAATATAAGATGTTTTCCTACAAGGGAAAATACTTTGACAGCAGTGGGCATGCATCTGAAATGTAAAAGACAGAATTATGGATTTTAGTCCATCCCCTATCAAATGCAATTGGGAAAATACTTGTTTTATTGACTGCAAAGGAACGAAGACAAATGTAATCTGAATGTAATATCTTCTCTTCAGATACATTGTATCAGAGAGGATAATAAATATTTACTCATTTTTCATACTATTTGTCTTGGCATAAGCAGTGTGCATTGTGGGGCTCAGCTAAATAGCTAATAACTCCATCTTCTGGGCACACAAACAAATTGCTTTGTGAATTTTGCAAAGAAGTTACGAAGGCACAGATACAAACTACCACAGCCAATTATATGCTGCGATGAAGCTAAGAACAAACCTGGGCAAATAGAGAATTTTTAGACAGATGCTGGAAACTCATCAGAGTTGATGCCTGCCTTATTTCAGAGGGATAGGAATTTCACAAAGGAGATGCCACCATAGAGAGCTTATTCCTGTGGCTTGCCATATAAAGTACAACCCAGAAAGCCTTCTTCAAAGTTCTCAACATATAGACAGGTCTATACGGGAGCAGCCATTAACTCAAATACTGAGCTCCCAAGTTATATAGGGCTCCTTAAATTTCACTTGTAGCAAACTGGCAGCTTGTGCAGTCCCTTCAGAGCTGGTGTATTATGACCATGAATAGCAATACAGTGAACACTCGGAACGTGATCTATGCGGGAGGCACATTCACAACCCGCAGTGCCGCGTCTGTGCACGTGGGGGTCATGATTCGGCACTTCTGCGCATGCGCAAAGCACCAAAACCCAGAAGTAACCCATTCTGATACTTCCAGGTTCGGCGCGGTGCGCAACCCAAAAACGCGCAACATGAAGCGTCTGTAACCCGAGGTATGACTGTAGTACCATGCAGCTCAATCAGTAGAGTATCAAGCTCTTAATCTCAGGATTGTGGGTTCAAGCCCCACTTTCAGCAAAAGATTCCTGCATTGCAGGGGGTTGGACTAGATGACACTGGTGACCCCTTCCAACTCTTACGATTCTATGATTCTAATTCAATAGCGGCAGGCGCAGCTGGCACTTCACAATGTTTTCGCAGTGTTTCCAATGGATCGATAGCGTTGAGCCAGTCTGCACTGGTCCCTTCTGAGTTACAGAGAACTTGGTGGTGCCTGAATATGCCAGCCCTTGAGTCCAAGTGTGGACTCATCCAATGAAATTAATTGGAAGTAGGTTCAGGCTAGATCATAGGAATAATTTATTCTTATTCTTATTCTTATTCTTATTTACTAAATCATTACTAACTTATTATGATGGCTTCCAACATAGATAGCTCAGAGGACTGACAGCTTCGTGAAGTATGGTTCAAGCAATGGCTATTAATCCTAGCTGCTAAAAGAAAGTGGAATGTCTGTTCCCAAGCAGAATACCTTTAATTATCAGATTTTGGAGTTAAACAGCAAGAGGTAGTTCTTGCCTTAATTCATTTGGTAGGATCCTGCCATTTTTATTTATTTTTTCTTACTTTTTCACATTTCTGTTGTTTCGTTCTGTTGTTTGGATACAGCTCAGAAAGAAAGGCAATTCATTATTTTTAATGTGGTTCATTAAGCAGCCTACCTCTGCGAGGACTACAGCAGAGGCCCTCCATGCTAGAAACCTGAAAAACAGTATCATTTTGAAGGGGAAAAGACACAAGGTTGGCCTGAAAATGATTCCATGCTTCATGTTTTCCTAGACTAAATTATTGTATTTTCACAGTGACAAAATTATACTGCATAATCATTAAGCTTGCTCCTTTGCATTGTGATAAAGGTAAAGGGACCCCTGACCATTAGGTCCAGTCGTGACAGACTCTGGGCTTGCGGCACTCATCTCGCTTTATTGGCCAAGGGAGCTGGTATACAGCTTCCGGGTCATGTGGCCAGCATGACTAAACCGCTTCTGGCAAACCAGAGCACCGCACAGAAACGCTGTTTACCTTCCCGCCAGAGTGGTACCTATTTATCTACTTGCACTTTGACGTGCTTTCGAACTGCTAGGTTGGCAGGAGCAGGGACCGAGCAATGGGAGCTCACCCCATCGCGGGGATTCGAACTGCCAACCATCTGATCGGCAAGCCCTGGGCTCTGTGGTTTAACCCACAGCGCCAACCGCGGTTAATGGCTTAAGATGTATGTTGCCCTATCCTTCCCACTTCACTCCACCCTGGTGCAAACAGGAGCAAAAAGACATGACACTTGTCTTACTATGATGTTTGCCCCTGGAATTATGGTTTGGCTGTCCTGAACAAATCAGTCATTATCCAAGGTGTGTTCTTGGTTTGCTTATCATGGTTTGTTACAGAGAAACAGATTATGATCCCATTTAGGGCAATGCACCAAGTAGAGCTTCATGACTTGTTGGTCATGAAGCTCATGTCAGGGAGAGCAAAGTGGTAGTGATCAGACTGTATGTTGATCATTCATAGTAAGTCCATAACCATGCAATATTGTGTAGTGTGAAGCGGGCCACTGTCTAAATAGTCTTCTTCAGCACTATTTTTCTAGAAAAAGGGGTGCCGGAACTCACTATGAACACCTCCCTTATTCTCTTAGATGCTCACCTGAGAGGTGCCAATACTGAGTTCCAGTGAGATCTGGCTGAAACAAAGTCCTGAAGTTCAGTGTTAATAGTATTAGATAAAGTGTACCCTAAGAGACTGGGATGCAGGTGGCGCTGTGGGCTAAACTACAGAGTATAGGGCTTGCCGATCAGAGCGGGAAGGTAAACGGCATTTCCATGTGCTTCTCTGGTTCGCCAGAAGCGGCTTAGTCATGCTGGCCACATGACCTGGAAGCTGTCTGCAGACAAACACCAGCTCCCTCAGCCAGTAAAGCAAGATGAGTGCCACAACCCCAGAGTCGTCCGCGACTGTACTTAACGGTCAGGGGTCCCTTTACCTTTACCATAAGAGAAAGCTGAAAGTAGATATCTGTTAGATATATCAAATTATAACTTTATTTTGCCTTATATCTACTATAAAGGATAAAATCTCTCTCACCCCCCCCCCTTTGGAATATAATGCCTTGGAAGCATCCTTTGGGATACAGGCATAGGAAAACTATAAATCTTTAGGATACAGTAAACAGTGTTTCTACTGAAAAACAATGTTGGGGAACCTGTACCCCTCCAAGTGCTGTTGAGGTCTCCAGCTTGGGTCTCCAGCTGTTTTTTGGACTACAACTCCCATCATCACTAGCTAGTAGGACCAGTGGTCAGGGATGAGGGAATTAGTGTCTAATAAAGCTGGAGACCCAAGTTTGTGAAACATTGAACTACACCATGGCTCTAGATTCAGGTATTAGCCATGCTAGCTGGGGCTGATGGGAGTTGGAGCCCCATAGTTGGAAGGCAAGGGTTTTCTTATCCCTGCTATATATTTCACTAAAAAAAAAAAAAGAGGAAGGAAATTGCCACACTGTGATTTTTCTGCCCCTAAAAATGAATCAGTCCTGAGTATGCTTATCCTTGAGGGACAATCTCAAGAACAGCAGCAGAAAGCCACAGATCATATTCTACTATAAGAACAAATGGCACTTTAGTTTTTCAACTTAGAACTGGCTCTAAAGGAGGGGGGGGACTTATTTAGTGGTAAACAGAACCCTTAACTATTATGTAATTGGCACCATTTACTCTATATTTATAGCATTACGAGTTTACTGTATTTGGGTTGTTCAAATAATTTTGCATATCGAGTTGAAATTGTATTTTACATGATGATTTAATCTTTCCACAGCTGCAGCAGTATAAATTACACTTAAGACTATGCTGATTGATTATAATCAGTTGTAATCATGTCTTATAATTACATTGCATTCTGGAGACAGAAGACGTTTAAGCCTACTCAGCACCCTGTTATATAAAGAAGATTAGCTGCTGCTTCTGTGAAACTCAGCCAGTACTGAAATATATGCATATTCACACCATGTTTTATTAAATTTATTGTCCAGGAACCAAATGAATTTCCTTTCTGTTCTTTTTGCAAATGTAAAGCATAACAAAGAAATCAAAATAATCATAATGGTTTTGGAAGATCATGCTTGTAAACAATGCTCTCATTAAACATGTATAGCCCATTTGCTTTGAAAACTGCAATAAATATAAAAAAAATCCATTCCTTTGATATTCATTTGATAATAATTGGTTATTACAGATCCAATTGTGCATTCATGAAGCAATAAAACTGAGCAGGAAGATGCATAAAGTGGATTGTATGCACCACAGATAACAAGGCTGAATATCAGTTTTTCTCAGCCCTGTTATCCAAGTTTTAATTATTGCAGTGCTTCACCTTAAAACTCTTAAACAGTAAATTTTGCACTACCTTTACTTATGCTGTGGGTGTAACAGGTATAAATACCTCTTTGAAAATCTACATGACACAAAAGGCACATTTCTTTCTTAAATCTTTTACGGATTTAAAACATCCATAATCCTTAAAAAAGATTAGACCAATTCATGTTGCAATCCTAACTGCTGTCCAGAAGCAATGAGGATTGATGGGGTGGAACAGCCAGCACGGAATCCACCAATTTAGGACTCAGACCAGCCAGGGCAGAATAAGGAGCAAAGAAAAAAAGCTCCTTTACTGACCCATGTCCTAGGCTGTCACAGTGAAGACCCCTGGAGGGGGTCCGATGATGTCCATCGCTTGACATTAGCAGGGTTTGCAGTAGAGCCTGTAGTTCTTGTACCAATCCAAACCGCTCCCTGACTTAACCTGATAATCCATTTCTAAAATCAATTAGATTAACAGGAACTAAAGAGAGGGTGACCCTGACCCCGCCCATTTGTAGAAGGGATATACTATTGACTCCATCTGCTTGGCTTTTAAATAGGCTCTGAACACCCAGTTGTATTTAGCCAGCATGGTTCTAGCTGAAAACATGGGCTGTTTTTAGATGATTAAAAGCTGTTTTATTGCTTGCCCTGTTTGCTGAGCTTTAAATTGATTATTTATTTTTTCTTGCTTGCTTGGCTGGGCTTGGAGATCTCTATTTTATGGCATTTCACTTGATATTGTGTGTTTGTAGCATCAAGTCTATTTTTATGGCGAGCTCTTTGCCCTGAAAGGCAGCTTAGAAATACTTAAAGAAACAGTTAAAAATAATAAGAATAAATCTGCGCTCAAAGTTGCATTTAAATCTGCATGCAGAAGCACATGGTCTGTATTTTTGAACTTAATTTGATATTTTTTTGAGCTAAGAACTGCACATTATTTGGAGAGGTGTGAAAACTAATGGACAGTGATGGTCCAATTCTCCCATCAATCAGTCTTGGAGGTGAAGATCAGGGCAGATCTTATTGATACTTGCAAATATTTAATTTCTCAAGAATACCTAGACTACATCAGGCTTGATCTGCTCCAGCGAGAAACTGGCTGCATTTCCTTGCTACAACTGTGGATGTCTAACAATTTTCTTGAATTTTCAAGCTTTCTGGAAAAAATATATGCATGCCCGCAATAGCACTTTATTCTAGGGAGGAAAATGCATTATCCCTCATGTAGTTGTAACTGTAAATGGTTTCTAGGTTCTAGCTGATAACTTTAGCCTACAAGCCCCATTTAGAACCTCAGCCGTATTTCCCACATGATCAGCAGCAGGGTCTGGCAACAGAGCTAGAACGATGTAGAGACACTTCTGAAACAGCGCTTCAAACAACTGTATTTGAAGTAAACCACCCTTTATGGTATCCAAGGTGGTAGATGCTTTAGATTTAAGTTGATTTTGCATGGTTATTTATTAGGTACAGTCGTACCTTGGAAGTCGAATGGAATCCATTCCAGAAGCTCCTGCAGCCAATTGGAAGCTGTGGAAGCCACGCCAGATATTCAGCTTCAGAAAATCATTTGAAAACTCACTTCAAGTTTTGATCATTCAGGAGCCGATTTGTTCGGGAGCCAAGGTGTTTGGGAGCAAAGGTACGACAGTATTTTTAATGTACAATAAATAAATGTTACCAAATTCAGATGACATATTGAAACTGGAACTTTAACATGGATCGAGCACAACTGGTGCAAGTATCAGAGTTCTGAGATTACTAGAACTTCAATGTTTTACCAACTATGCACAAAAATCTGCTAAAGATTTGGCTGACTAGGTCACCTTCAAATCAATAATAGAATTTAAGATGTAATTGTTCTCCGCACATACCGCACATACAGTGTTCCTTGATTTCCCTGATCTTAACCTCCTGATAAACAGCCAAGCTACCTTAGCTTCAAAGTACATCCGCCTGCCCATCTTTTCCCAGAGCACTTTCCCTTTGCACCAGTTTTACTAAAACCAACTCAAAGAATTTGGATGCCCATATAAACACAATGGATACAGTGTTCTACTTAGTAAGCAGGCAGAAGACTGCAGTTCCACATGAATGGAGGCACAAAGAGAAATGTCAACAGGCACTTCATGTTTATTCTGGAAGATCTTTGTTGAAGCTGGTCAGGCAACTTAGTCATGATGAGTCCCACCTGCCTACTTCAGAAGATAAATCAAAAACCCTCTCTTTGGCATCTTATTAGGGACGGGAAGCATATTTGAATACATTGCATGTCCACTAGATGATTGTGGGCTTGCAATTTAATTATGCAAATCAACTATTTGGAAGGTTTTTCTTACGCGATCTAACATTTAAATTGTATGGCACCAGGGTTAACTATTTCATCTGTTCTGCCAAAACATGACTTGAGATGCTGAGAGCATCAGTGATTACATTTCTCAATGGTTTGTATTCTTAGTATGCCATTGCGGCAAAAGCAGACCATCCAGTCTTATATAGATGCATTTTTGGGCACAGGGGCATGGATTAGAAAATGGATTCCAGAGGGCATGGAGCAGAAGGGATAGAGGCCTGAAGGCAAAGAGAAAATGTGTGCAAAGGAGAGATAATTAGGAATTGAATGAAAAACCTGGGAGCAGCCAAGGTCCTTCACGCCAGAAAAAAGAATTAAGCATAGGCCACCTAATTCTGCACTCTGTTACACCAGGAACCAAGAGTTATCCGAGAAGAATGTAACTGAGAAGAATTTGATCCAGAGAAGGAGAGAAGCATAAAGAATTAGTGGAAGATTTGCAGCAGAGAAAGCTGGGGAAACAGCAGTGTTTGACATTTCGATTCAACAAGGTTTTCCAGGCTATGTAATGCCTAGTATTATTTTGGCAGGTTGTTCGAAACATATTAGTTGTTTTTAGCTGTGCTCATTATGCCTAAAAAATGCTAAGAAATCAGCATCAAAAAAGTTTGTAGAGAAAAGGAGTTTTGTTTATAAATATAAATGTCAATGGAATCAGTGAGAAAAGCTCAGTCGGTAGAGCACGAGACTCTTAATCTTAGGATCGCGGGTTCAAGCCCCACATTGGGCAAAAGATCCCTGCATTACAGGGAGTTGGACTAGATGACCCCTGTGGTCCCTTCCAACTCTATCCAGTGCAGACAATTTGCTAGTGCAGGGGCCCTTGCCCTAAGACAATTTCTCAATGTTGGTCAACAGAAGAAATCAATGCAATTGGGTTGGCTAACGCCCAAAATTTCCCCGACATGTCTGGGATTTCAATGGCAAAATTAGCACCCGGGGTGTGTGTGCATGCGTGTTGGCCTCTTTTTTTTTTGGCCAAATTCCCCCCAAAAGCTCAACAACTTTATTTCTATGGTTCTTCTTTACTTTTTTTTTTGTCCCCTGTATCTGGTTTTAATCCAACATGCTACTGGGGAAGAGCGGAGGACAAGTACAAGTAGATCCAGAGCTGATGAAGCGGCTGGGCCAAAGCCGAAAGGACGCTCAGTTGTGGATATGCATGGAAGCGAAAGGAAAGTCCAATGCTGTAAAGAAAAATATTGCATAGGAACCTGGAATGTAAGAACCATGAACCTGGGTAAGTTGGATGTGGTCAAAAATGAGATGGCAAGAATAAATATTGACATCCTGGGCATCAGTGAACTAAAATGGATGGGAATGGGTGAATTCAGTTTGGATGACTATCATATCTACTACTGCGGGCAAGAAACCTGTAAAAGAAATGGAGTGGCCCTCATAGTCAACAAAAGAGTGGCGAAAGCTGTACTGGGATGCAATCTCAAAAATGATAGAATGATCTCGATACGAATCCAAGGCAGATCTTTTAACATCACAGTAATCCAAGTTTATGCACCAACTACTGGTGCTGAAGAAACTGAAATTGACCAATTCTATGAAGACTTACAAGACCTTATAGAAGTGACACCAAAGAAGGATGTTCTTCTCATTATAGGGGATTGGAATGCTAAAGTAGGGAATCAAGAGATAAAAGGAACAACTGGCAAGTTTGGCCTTGGAGATCAAAACGAAGCAGGGCAAAGGCTAATAGAGTTCTGTCAAGAGAACAAGCTGGTCATCACGAACACGCTTTTCCAACAACACAAGAGATGACTGTACACATGGACATCACCAGATGGGCAACATCGAAATCAGATTGATTATATTCTCTGCACCCAAAGATGGAGACGCTCTATACAGTCAGCAAAAACAAGACCTGGAGCTGACTGTGGCTCAGATCATCAGCTTCTTATAGCAAAATTCAAGCTTAAACTGAAGAAAGTAGGAAAAACCACTGGGCCGGTAAGATACAATCTAAACCAAATCCCTTATGAATACACAGTGGAAGTGAGGAACAGGTTTAAGGATTTAGATTTGCTGGACAGAGTGCCTGAAGAACTGTGGGTAGAGGCTCGCAACATTATACAGGAGGTAGCAACTAAAACCATCCCAATGAAAAAGAAATGCAAGAAAGCAAAGTGACTGTCCAACGAGGCCTTACAAATAGCGGGGGAGAGAAGGCAAGCAAAATGAGAGGGAGATAGTGAAAGATACAGGAAATTGAATGCAGATTTCCAAAGAATAGCAAGGAGAGACAAGAAGGCCTTCTTAAACGAGCAATGCAAAGAAATAGAGGAAAATAACAGAATGGGAAGAACCAGAGATCTGTTCAAGAAAATCGGAAATATGAAAGGAACATTTCGTACAAAGATTACCATAATAAAGGACAAAAGTGGTAAGGACCTAACAGAAGCAGAAGACATCAAGAAGAGGTGGCAAGAATACACAGAGGAATTATACCAGAAAGATATGGATGTCTCATACACCCCAGGTAGTGTGGTTGCTGACCTTGAGCCCGACATCCTGGAGAGTGAAGTCAAATGGGCCTTAGAAAGCACTGCAAATAACAAGGCCAGTGGAAGTGATGGTATTCCAGCTGAACTATTAAAAATTTTAAAAGATGATGCTGTTAAGGTGCTACACTCAATATGCCAGCAAGTTTGGAAAACTCAGCAGTGGCCAGAGGATTGAAGAAGATCAGTCTACATCCCAATCCCAAAGAAGGGCAGTGCCAAAGAATGCTCCAACTACCGCACAATTGCACTCATTTCACACGCTAGCAAGGTTATGCTTAAAATTCTACAAGGAAGGCTCAAGCAGTATGTGGACCGAGAACTCCCAGAAGTGCAGGCTGGATTTAGAAGAGGCAGAGGAACCAGAGACCAAATTGCAAACATGCGCTGGATTATGGAGAAAGCTAGAGAGTTCCAGAAAGACATCTACTTCTGCTTCATTGACTATGCAAAAGCCTTTGACTGTGTCGACCACAGCAAACTATGGCAAGTTCTTAAAGAAATGGGAGTGCCTGATCACCTCATCTGTCTCCTGAGAAATCTCTATGTAGGACAAGAAGCTACAGTTAGAACTGGATATGGAACAACTGATTGGTTCAAAATTGGGAAAGGAGTACGACAAGGCAGTATATTGTCTCCCTGCTTATTTAACTTATATGCAGAATTCATCATGCGAAAGGCTGGGCTGGATGAATCCGAAGCCGGAATTAAGATTGCCGGAAGAAATATCAACAACCTCAGATATGCAGATGACACAACCTTGATGGCAGAAAGTGAGGAGGAATTAAAGGACCTCTTAATGAGGGTGAAAGAGGAGAGCGCAAAATATGGTCTGAAGCTCAACATAAAAAAAACTAACATCATGGCCACTGGTCCCATCACCTCCTGGCAAATAGAAGGGGAAGAAATGGAGGCAGTGAGAGGTTTTACTTTCTTGGGCTCCATGATCACTGCAGATGGTGATAGCAGTCACGAAATTAAAAGACGCCTGCTTCTTGGGAGAAAAGCAATGACAAACCTAGACAGCCTCTTAAAAAGTAGAGACATCACCTTGCCAACAAAGGTCCGTATAGTAAAAGCTATGGTTTTCCCAGTAGTGATGTATGGAAGTGAGAGCTGGACCATAAAGAAGGCTGATCGCCGAAGAATTGATGCTTTTGAATTATGGTGCTGGAGGAGACTCTTGAGAGTCCCATGGACTGCAAGAAGATCAAACGTATCCATTCTTAAGGAAATCAGCCCTGAGTGCTCACTGGAAAGACAGATCGTGAAGCTGAGGCTCCAATACTTTGGCCACCTCATGAGAAGAGAAGACTCCCTGGAAAAGACCCTGATGTTGGGAAAGATGGAGGGCACAAGGAGAAGGCGACGACAGAGGATGAGATGGTTGGATGGTGTTCTTGAAGCTACCAGCATGAGTTTGATCAAACTGCGGGAGGCAGTGGAGGACAGAAGTGGCTGGCGTGCTCTGGCCCATGGGGTCACGAAGAGTCGGACACGACTAAATGACTAAACAACAACAACAATCCGGTTTTAAAGGAAAAAGCCCTGCCTGTATCAGTCACTTAGCTGCAAGCTTCAAAATGGGAGGAGAGGGTGAGGAAAGGTTCCTTTTGTGGGGAATTAAAAACATTTCCTTTGCATTTTCTTGGGCTTGCTAATTCCTTTGAGAAATGTGTTTGAAGTAACAAGGATTATTTCTATCATTATAGGCTCTGGACTGATTCCCCCACCCCCAGAAATAGTTTTAATTGTGATCACTGAAGAAATGTGCGGCTTGAAAAGACAGACAGGATTGCTCTGTTATGCAATAGATACAGGGTCTTTATTTAATGGGGGAGAATAATGGTACCATTACTAGCATTATATGCTGACCCAAAGATCTATTCCATCACCTTAAGGTATTCATTGAGAAATAATTCTGTCTGATTTCCTGTTCTTAGCCTCAATAGAGTTGATCTGGGCTGACCCAATGCCTTCCAAAGTGCCAGCAGTATTACAAAGTGAGGCCACTCAGAGAGCACCCTTATCCTTAAATTTCGTATGTTACAAAGGCAATGTTAATGCATCACACATTGTAGAGTATCTATGAACCACTGATAACCTTGGCAGAAGCTGTTGCTTTCATCTATATCCACAGACCCTGGAGACACAAAGATTGTTTTTAACAAATGTAAAGAATAATGGATGGAGTAATGAGATGAAGGATAAACGCTTCTGATCGGAAAAAGCATTGACATTAGAAACTCGAGGGGTAATTTTCACTTAGTATATACAAACAAAAAACACACAGCTTTTGACAGTGGGGTTATATTGGATAATCTTGCATAAGCACACATGGGTTTTAATCCCTGAAATGACATCCCTATTGAAAATGAAGAATGGAATCCATAATATAAAATTATGTTCGTACATTGAAGAAAAAAATAAGTTTGTCAGAATTGATCCTGAGACTAACTTGGAATCCAATCAAGAATCTATCCTTCCTGACTCCCACCCCATACTTCATTAAACGTGTCCAAAAACCTCCATAAAATGCTGACTTTAGAAATTCTATTGACAATGGGTCTTCGTTTCATTCTCACAGTTATCATATATGTACCCCACTCTCCTTTTGTTGAGTTCAGAGCAGCACACATAAGTTCACACTCTGTTTAGCATGTGAACAAATCTGTACGGCATGCTAGCCTGAGAAATCAGTGACTGGCTCACTCAAACCCAGATCAGTCACTGGCCCGCTGACTCTTCTTCTTAACTTATTTGATGGAATGCAAGAAGCCAGAGCTTACTATCAGGGTTCTCTCCCCCCCCCCCCGCCGCCCCAGTGCTGATGCTCAACTCTGGAATACAGATATCAGATGCAATATTAAAGGAAGGTGTGATTCTGATGAGATGTCTCTATGTAAGGAGTCTCTGCCAAAATGGGCAGCTCCTTACTGGATTCCCACCCCCATCTGTCATGACTCACAATCTGAGGACTATGCACTTTGCAATGAGGGGCTCAGAGGACAAGGATCTGCTTCAATTTTGGAGGAAAGAATGTCCACGACCACTTTCAGGATGCTCCTGACTGCGGAACAAATCTCTGCTGCTCTTCTCTTATTGGGAAGAGGAGTGCTCCACAGTACCTCTCTATCAATGGGGCATTGTCAACCTATGAGGTTTCAGTTGGACCTAGGTGCTTGCAGAGGACACAGATTCTACTAGGGGTGTGAACTGG